TACAAATTATCATCCGGCCGCAGAGTCGATGATGTTCCACCACAGAGGACACCCATGCGCCCCATGGTCTTCTGCCAATAAAAGGGAAGAGATGTCCAGCTGGCAGTGTCGTACCGAGCGGGAGAGCCTGAGGTTAGCGAAGAGATGAAGAACAGCCCGTTGGAAGAAGAACGTTTCTGTTTGGAGTAGTCCCGCCTTGACTGGTCCCAAGTAATTGAGCACGACGGAGAACGCTGTGAGATCCACAGCTGGCCGACGAGAAAGAAGTTTGAAAACATCATGTCGCTCCCTAGAGTGAACGTGGTGTGGCAGCGTACCAGCTAGTCCCAATCGCACGGCTCCCTCATATGCAACTCCTTGAGCATACACGGGGCTCATACATAAGAAGGAGAACCGTGAAGAGAGCCAACGCCGTCCCAGAAATTGCGGTTTGGAAATGAACGGCCGAGTGCTGGAGTAACGCGGAAAAAGATTTCGCCTACTTGGGTAATCTCTCCAAACGACGAACTTGGTCAACTATCCAAGCGTAGAGTACGATGCCCGCTAATCAATCATAGCCACCGACGAAAGGTAGATACGCCCTTCGAACTCTCGGCACACAGATAGGTAGCGCGCCGAGAACACTGAAATCTTCGGTCGACTCTTCCTTTATATGCATGGAAGCGTGCTTGACAGGTTAGGAGAAGAATTCAAACGGCGTGTGGATATAGGAGAGAGGAGCGTGGGGGTGATTGTGGAAGGGAACAAACGTTGCGGAGCCTTTCACATGTGCTCCATGCGGGGTCTATCGTCGAGCAGCTGCCAATGAATATTTGATCCGTCTCGTCTGCGAGACTACGAGGGAGACTCTTCAGTCGAAGCGCCGGTGAGGCCTAGGGCTCGTGGTGGGAAAAGGTGCCTCGACACCGTGCATTCTGTGCTTTACAGAGGAGAAATGGAGTTGTACGCTTCAGAATCGTTGTGCGAGGGATGAGGTCAAGAACAGAGAGATCCATTCCGCCCGCACCTGTCTTCGACATCGATCCAGCCGCGCGAGCAGGTCTCGAAAAGTGACGTGATACCGCCCGATTAGAACGAGGCACTGAATGAACACCATGGTGGGGACAGAGACGCGAAAACGTTTTGTGGATCGTTTGTTCCTGCTTGAATTGAAGGGTGGTATTGCTCACATCCATCCTGACTCTCAACCCTGATGCAGTCTTCGTTTCCGATACCGGCGACAGGCCAATGGGCTTAGGAGAAGGTTGGATGACACCGACGACGATCCCTCCATTGTATGACATGGGCGTATTCAAATACACCCACGGAATGGCCATCTGTAAAGTCTTGGACGGGTACATGGTACTAGGAAGATCGTTTCATGGGAAATCCGCGCTTCTGAATGGGACATGGAGATTGTTGATGAAGTAGAATAAGCTGAGACTGTTAACGGAACGGAGTATAATTCAGCATTAGGCCAAAGCTGTGCGTATCCGAAGAGGAAAAGAATCCGCTCGTTCCGTGCACTAGTCTACTATCATATATCCACGAACCTGGGGACTCGACGAACGTACGGCTTCGAGTTATCGAGCTATCGCACCGCTGCGAAGGGTTCACCCGACAACCTCGATAAAGGTCGCCGACACAGGAATACCGAGTCGTCATGTGTTTCCCCGCGTAAACAGCATATCGACCCGACGACCTCCAATGGGGAGACCACTCCAAGATCGATGGTAGTTCTTTTCCGGATGGTAAGCGATAGAGGACGCCTCGTTCCGCGCGCCAAGACCCACAAGAGGCGGCCGAATGAAACCTTGCACGCTAAAACCTGAGACCTCAGGTTGAAGGATCGCAGCATCGACGGTTCGCTTCGTCCTTTTTCCTTCTCTTCATCACCAATGTTTATGGCAGAAAAAACGAATCCGTGGTGACAGGTAATTGATTGCAACACTGGTTATGTCTGGCAGCCGGTCTCAAGAGGTGGCGTGACGTCGTAGAAAAACACTGTTGCAGAAAAATCCTTGTATTCGCAGGTTCCGAATCGAGGGCGCCGGTGTGCATTGAACTGGCTAAGACAGGCGAGCATGTCAACATGTATCCACTCTCATGCATGGTCTCCGATGAACATACGCAGTCTACGCAAGCTCATTAGCTTCCCGTTAAAAGCTGGCATAGCAAGAAAACTCACGCCGGAAACCCAGAGCTGCTGTTTTTGGAATGGAGGAGTTGACAAAGCGATCTGTCTCTGAGCCAGCACGCGTCGCCACGAATACTAGGTCGAAGTTCCTATGATGGTACAAGACCCGCTAATCATTCAGCATCACGTAACTAGCCACCGATGACATCGAGGCCCTTCTCCAACCATACGCGCCCTCGAATGCATGCCAAGAACATATTCGTCGTCGAGTCCTAGCCGACTTAATCGCCTCGTTGCGTAAATCTCGGAGGTGTTGGGCATGTTCATGTTCCGCGTGCCGAGGACACATCATAATATGTATGGGACCGGCTTCATTGGCAGATTCCGGAGGTGGGGAGCGGCCATTGATGCTGCTTCTCCGTCAAACCTGGCGCCAAAAAGTGAGGAGATTACAAAACCCCTCCTCAGCCGTGCCCTTCTATGTACCGGGGTTCATGGGGAGAAGGCGTCTCCCTTCGAACTCGGCACACGGAAGTATGCTCGAGAGATGGTACGTCTCAGATGTCGAAGCCAGGATGCTCCTTCGACCATATACTTCGCGGAACTAGACTATATGCGCGGACAGAAGGTAGGATTCTTCTCAACGAGGTCGGGAGCAGAAGGCAAATGAAAAAGATTATGTGTTATGACGAGGCACGTTCGAGGATTGAGGATGACGGAACTCCACCAGGGGAAGAGAAAGGGCCGGGCAAACGCGACAATGTACAACAGGCCCAGCCTCGATGATCCAGGCAGTCGATCTCTCCATCCCAAAGGTTACTACGCGAAAGGCAGACATAACAACCTTGCTGAGACGCGCACCTCACGCTCTCCCAAGAGATAAAGGTCTCTGTGCTTCCTTATGTGAATAAAATACCGAAGGAGTTGTCAAGGACCACCTGCGAATCACACGAAGGTGTCTAAGACGGTAACGTCCTGTCCTCTATACAGACGCCTTGCTCCAAGAATGGGAAGGAGCTGTGAAAGAGCTCTCGCATGGCAAATCGCGGCACCGGGGAAGGGCCTCGACCGAATATACTATGTGCGAACATTGTTCCAAGAGGCGCCTGCCTGTATCACAAAACGTGCGGTCGTCGAAAGAAGAGGCGACGAACAACATTATCAGTTCCTGGGGTGCCTGCCGTCCGTTCGGTGTCCATCGGTTGAGAGATAAGGCGAACGGCTGTGAGCTAGCGACGACTTTTTCCGGGGGGATCTCCCGGCTCCGTCTCGAGCGGTGTCCGCTGAAAAGGGCGCCTTCTTGAGCTGTGCCCGGTACTAGCAGTAACCCAGCTGCACGGTAGGAGCAGCATGTCGCAAAAAGTGCTGGAATAGTCCGATGAGAATGAGGCACAACATTCGTTGAAGGGACATCGGTGATTGGGATAGAGAGGCGCGAAGAAAAGTTCCTGTGGACTAAGTGGTTTGGTGGACCGGTTCCGAGAGTCCATGATCCTCCCTTAATTGAAGGCGGCGTTAGAACATTTCAGGACGGCACGGTGATAGAGCTCACTGTAAGGCTTTCAATGATCAAGGACATTCATCCGTAGTCTCGGGTGTACGGCTCGTTCCCTCCATATGATTGCCCCTTAACATGTGTAGGACCGGAGCATCTACCGATGCTCGTTAGGTCCCTGGTAAAAGATGGAATAGTAAGGAAACTTACCTCGCTCTCTCAAAAACTAGCCGGATGGTCAGAGGACCGAAACATTGGCCCGGAAGCAGTCTTCCTCTCTCATGGCATTACCCGTCCATCATATTCCGAAGGGCAGAGAGATATGACAGGAAAGGAGAGCCAATGAAAGAAAAGAGGACACAAGGTAGACGATGAGAAAGAGAAGAGTTGTTGATAGCGAAGCGCCTAGGCGTTCACGCATGACCACCAAGTGAATACTCGACGGTCCCACGTTCATTGCTCGGCGGCATTCCCTCTGTTGAAGATCCTGGGATTGTCCCACATCGCCCAGGAATAGTGACAGGATGCACATGTCCCACCAGGATAAGATGGTTCTTGGCCTGCCTGATCGTCACCCAAACAATGCCTCCCCCGCCCACTACCCCAGCACTGATCGTCATTATAGCAGCAATAACCTTGCTGCTTATCGCCGTGCTGGTGGTGTTGAAGATGCGCCAAAGGAGGACAAGATTGTTGGGATGGTCTGGTGACCCGCTGTCGGAAACGCGGTTGGATGAGAACGAGGCGCGCCGCGGAAAGGAAATGAGCGAAGAAGGGAAACTGCCTTTGGTACAGAATGGTACGTGTTCGTCGTGGGTCTGGTGGTAAGAATGAGCGCTGATTTCGTTGCAGTCGTTTAAAATAACGCACCTTCCGCCATGCTGCACCCACCCCTCGTGCACGCAAAATTTCTGTTGGACATACACGCTGAGTTTCGGCACTAGAATATAGGAAGCTTATACCCACTGTAGCTCGATAAGCGTTCCAAGTTCATATCCCTACGTTCACTCTCTCCCGCCATTCATACCTTCGTTTTTCTACCACGTTCGTCAGCCAGTGTTACAAGTGTAGATTATGCTGTACAAATCCGTGTACTTTCAGTTTCGCCGTGACATCCTGTAACATATGAGAAAACATTCGCAGAACATAAGACAACGGCCCGACCTGACATCAAATTCAACACACCTGCGCTGCTTGCTCAGCTCTACTAGGGATGTTTGAACGTCCAATGTCGCTGAGACTGAAGCGCCAGACGCTTCAGTCCACGACTTTTCTTGGAAGACATCGCCGTTGGTTGCCAATGAGCCCGGGCCAATGTGGGTCATCTGAAGGACGTCGACCCGATTTCTTATCGACAATCATATTTAAAAGGGTACCTATTATGTATACTCTCTGGTAGTATATCGGTTAGTACACGCGCCTGTCATCACTGACACATCGATATATGCGCGCGAAAGCTGGGTTCGACTCCCAGCCAGAGAGATCCTAGTGACTGTGTACCATTTCTTTTTCGTTGATTTTGCATTCTTTTAGTCCTTAAGTAATAAGAACACTAAACGGCAATTCGCGAAGTAACGAATTATCTTTTGTCCATTGCGCAAGCGAGCCAAGTCGTAGAGGTGGAACTTTCTTACTGATTGCAGTCTGATGCTCTGAAAGGTAGGCTCCTGGAGACACGATGAAGTATTACTATCACTGCGTCACTACTTTTGCACTTTTGGTAATGAGCCAATATTGGTAAACTTACCATGGACAGCACCGAGAAGTTCTAGTGTCATGTAACATTATCTGGCACTCAGCCGTACAGACGCGTCCTGTCCTTTGTGTCGCCTGAGATATGATTTGAAAAGGTACGCAGTACACGTATTCCTGTGGAATCTATCCCTCTTTCCTCTAGATAAAAATGCTACGAAAGCAGTCTCCAAGGCGACAACGAACTTGGAATGCCCCATTGCGCCACATCAAGAACACTTCACTTGCAAGGTAATACTAAGGTAATACATCGACGTGAATATAGAATTATATGAATGTAAGTAGCTCTAATAGCATAAATTGACAGAAGCGCAGGAAGCTCTTGCTCGCCATGAAGAAAAGACTACATCGCGTAAGTAAAAGAATAAAGTATGGATAGCAAACGACAAGGGAGCGTGAATTACTTCCGGTGGACAGATTTAAGATTAAAAAAACAACACAAATTCGTATAAAGCGATCAGGGTCTCCCATTGTTGACCTTTACTCGCCTCCATTTGACCCAGAGCCTGAGCTAGACAGAGTTTGTCCTCTGTTTCCATTGCCAGAGGCTCCCCCTGCTGTGATGCGCCGTATGAGCATTGAGATAGTATCTCGCTCTCGGACAGTATAGAGCCCACGTACCCTTGGCCGGAGTTGGACGGACTTGTAGAAATTTAGTCAAAAGAAGCATAGACGAATAGAGTGCGAACCTGGATGGTACTCTGTACATCGCCGTGAGTAATAGTGCGCAAAACAAACAATCGAACGAATACACACCAAATACCTGGGAGGACGCGGAGGTGTTTGAAAACGCTGAATCGCATGGTCGCGGTGCGTTTAATTAAGAAAGAGGTAATGTAGTGAAGAAATAACCACCTCATACTTCATATCTTATACCATGGCGGCGCATTCCGTCCTTGGTATGCTACAAGTCGCCTGTCATCGTTCTACAGAGCACCAACGTTTCAGTATACGCATCGGAATTGCCGGAAATAAAAGAACGGCGCGGCTGTAAATCGCTGGCACGTGTAGCATGTATTGCATTGATGGCACTGAAAGGAAGGCTGCAGACCCGCCATTTTGTGTCATGAGCCTAGAAAACAGCAGGTCATACACACCAAATTTATGCCTTGTGGAGGAGACTAGCCAAGAATATACATAGGAAAATGTGATACAGGGATCCTGGTATGTAGACCTCCATGACGATGAACAGGGCGGGATTGCCGGTATGCTTTTGCCAAGGTGACATCGGAGCACTCAGCATTATTTTTGGACCACTGCCTCGACAAGCCTCGTTTGAGTTTGGTTGGAATGAACAGAGTCCTGAAGACCTCAGATGGCGCTAAGATACTTTGTCAGATAGAAGCGCGACGAAAGAGCAATATATAACCCAAGGAATGATGGTTTCCTAAAGGATGTGAAACTATACGTACATAGGTGTGTTAAAGATAGCGGTGATGATCTCTGTCGGGACTTGCGGGCCGACTGCCGTACTGAGTGCCTGCCGCAAGAGACGCGTCTTCGTCAGGCAGTTGAAGTCAAAGGAATGCTATTATTACTGCCCGAGGTTCCTATCATTCGTCCCTTCAAAAGGTAAAGTTGAAAGCGATGGTGGTGAAGCTAAGCGATGATTGCCTAGCGGTTGACTCCATCCTAATACCGCCATGGCGTTCGCATCTCACCCGGAAACAGCATTCATTATACAGTCCAACATGAAAATGAGGCCATCGATAATAGGGTTGTCTGGTAATCTTGTTGACAGCTTCAATATGCCAGATACACCTTCGAAAATCTGCCTTCCACGTTCATGTATGCCAGGACATCTCAAGCACGCTCTGGCAACACTCGATCGTGGGGAATGTATCTGGCACGTAAGCGTCTTTGATGCGAGCGCTCTTCGTGTGTGGGAACATTTCAGACGATCCCGAGGAAAAGTCTGGCAGCTTGACGAACACTCACAGCGGATGCAACAGTTCCATGGCACTTTCCATTGATAACGAGAAGCCTCTTAGATGATATATGGGGACCAGAATAGGTGCCCTACTCGCCGGAGGCATGATTAAACACCGTGCTTGTACGATTTTCCCGACCGCTATATATTATTGGATTCGTTTCCCCGAACCTGTTAGACGTCTCCGGTTATTAGAAATGCACGGCCACATACCCAAAACGTAAAACGCAAAACTACCGATTGTTGAAGATACCCGGCAGATCCTTCATCTCTAAAATGCAAACTCCAGCCTCTTCCAGCTCAGCTTCCGTCTCAGCTTCAACCGCGTTCGCTGTGGTGGTGCCCTCTCCAAAAAGTACTTCTAAGCGATCATACGTTCCATGGGCACCCCTAACCATCAACACCTCGTTACCCCGATCCAATGCAGCACTGCACGCTACATAGAAATCAGGATCCTCAAAGTGAGAAGAAACGGGAGTCGCCTCACTAGCTCTCAGAGAGAAATCCGACTGCAATCCAATTACAACGATCTCCGCATCAGAAACTATGAGATCCCCGAGAATCGTTCCCGCAAAAGCGTTGTTCTTCTTCTTATCAATCACTGGCTCGTTCGGCAACGGGGGATTGACGAGCTCCCATCCCGGGGTGTTTGGCTCGTCAGGCTCTCCTACATCACCCGCAGTGCGAATGTGGATTATCAATGGCGGTGGGTTCGCGGACCGCGCAGTTTCTAGTATCTGCGTGATGTTCTTGCTAACTGTTTTTGAGGAGGGGATTCCCATGGGTGGAGGGGAGAGCGCGGCCTTTTGGGCGTCTAGGATAAGGAGTACTCTGCGTGTATTTCCCGGCATCGCGGTTTCAAGTTGGAGGGTAAGACGATTTGAATCCCTGAGGCGACAGAAACTTTATACATCATTGGGACGGAACATTGAAACGCGTGGTACCTGCAAATCACAGGCTCGATATCGTTAATTCATCCATGTTGGGGATAATCTAAGTCCGAAGCCAATAGGTGACGCGGAGGGGATCAAATGTCACAGGAGTGAGAGACATCCTTCGGCAAAACCACCGAAACGAGGCAAAGATTAGTTCTACGCCCTGCAGTCAGTCCAAGGTTTGCACACTCGAAATAAGTAATTAATGTACTTCTCATGAAAACAGGGTCACGGAGGCCGTCTGACGATGCGGCGTGCCGCACAATACTCAAACGTTTAAAGCTTGCTCTGGGTAACGACGTCACATGTCGAATTCTCGCAAGAGCGCAGAAACCATTGAGGTTCTGATGGTGATAGCGGCATCGTAGGCAACACGCCTAAACCCCGGAGTTTGGCCAGCAAGCCGTCTACAACGAGAGACACCTGAGCTCCAAGTTTTGTGACGGTCGAAGAGTCGAATGCTACATATAGATAGCCATGGATGATCACAAGACCGCACCGGGCTTTCATAGAAGGGGTGCAGAGTGAGATACTTACTGTGCGGATATTCCTTGGGCCGGTTCATATCGAGAAGTTGATAGATCAATTCGCTCTAAGACAAGTACCTGGTCACCGTCCAGTTGTTAGCCAAACGCCCGGTTCCCATATGTCACACTCACGGAATTACAATAATGTTGCCAAACGACAATCATTTGGATGGTCTACATTAGAGAACTTCTCTTGGTCTAAACGACATGAACACTCGGTTCGTGAGCGGAAGGTAATCGGAATGGATGGCACGTACCGGATAGCCTAAGGTTTCTTGCAGGTCTTCTTGTGCTTCGGCCAGTCCAAAGCCTGGCAAGCACGTAGCCCCGGCAGGCAGTACCGAACTTTTTTGCATTTCCCACAGCGGGCCAATGTCGTGCTCTCCCCCGTCCGTGCACATGTCGCACAACACGTATCCCCCAGTACTCTCCGTCTGGCATCCTCCGCATCCACGAGCTTCGTGATTTCTCTCAACGTCGGTATCTTCCGCAATGTCGTGATTGTCATTCGAACAGTGAACCCATCCTCGTCGGCGAGATCAATATTACCACCGTGCCGCAAAAACCATTCCAATGCAGCGTGAGCACGACTGACAGCGTCGCGGTCGCCGGGCTTGTAGACCTGGACAATCTCTTGTGCGACAGTCGACCCATAGCGGTTACGAGAGTTAACATCTCCGCCAGCATCGTAGAGAATTTGCGCATATTCGAGATCAAACCCGGGTTTCGTAGAGAAGCAATGTGATAGTGCACGGGTGCCAGAAAGGTCTGTTCCGTCTACCGGGACTCGGGCCGTTTTAATGAGATACTTCGCGATGCTAAGATATGAAGTCCGCTCTGGAGGGTAGAGAATCGTGAACAAGTCAAGAAGGTTGTAAATTGGAACTCGGGTAGGGCCCCAGTGCATTTGATAGAGTTCCTCAGCCGCGGCAGCACGGGCGGCCTCTTTACATGTCTCGAGATTCTCGGACGACGTGGAGGTGATTTTGAAGTGTCGATCCACTCGCATGTCGAAATCTTCACGTACTCTGATGACGTCGGCGGCAGCAAGTAGCATACCGTAGGTATCAAGGTCGCGGTTGGGAATCATCATCTGAGTAGTACAGTACGTTCTCAGGCGCTGGGATTCTTGTCCTTTCAGCATTTCCTGAGTTTTCGTCAGTTCTTCTATAGGTCTATCTCGAGTTTCAGACATGTTTCAGGGAAGAAAAAGAGCACGACGAACCTTCCTTCTCCTGTGTCACCGGAATGAATGATATTCATGAGTCTTGCACGAGTATCTGGATCCAAATAATCCATGTTGGGCGACGGTGTTGGTGGATGGAAGAAAACGTTAGA